CATGTGAATATTTTAGGCTTTCTGACACAGTCTCAAAAAAAAAAAAAAAAAAAAAAAAACTCCTAAATGGTTCTAGTTAACATTCATGTGTGTCAGGCAGTAAGGTAAATGCTTAATTCACAATCTCATTTAATCCTCACTATAATATTAAGAGCAGGCATATTTGATCTTCACTTCATAGCAGGAAACAACCTCATTCACGGCCATACTTCATAAGTGGGGCAGCTAGAATTGTAACTGGGCAGTCTGCCCCAGAAATCATGATTTTAAGAAAAATTCTATACTGCCATTTTTTAAGGAACTATTTGAACTATGTATTTAACATTAGGTGCTAAGAGGCTCCCTTAAAATGTAGCATACTATTTTTTTAAAAAATAATATCTAAAACTGCCCCCAATGCCCCCAAAATACAGCACCTTAATTTTAAAGGATCACCTTTAGGATCAAAGAGTAGTTTTATTTAAATTTCATATTTATATCCTGGTTCTGCTACTAAGGTTAGCAACTTATGGTAGGTATGATCATTAAGTTTTTCCATTAAAAAATTCCTTCTTATCCATTAGCATATGTGATCACTAAGTCCTCTATCATGAGTTTTAAGTTCCTAACCATATATCTAAATTAGAATTATTATCTGAAAATACAAAAATCCATTTAAATAACAGATTTTTAAATTTTCTTAGCTCATCCTTCAATGTTTTCAACAGCTCCAGGATTTCTTTCAATGGATGGATGAATGAAAGACTATAAAAAGGAAGGAGTGCTTTGTGGGTTAAAAGCATGATGGATGCAATGAGATTTTTTAAATTGAGAATGCTTTGAAACAAAGAAGGCAGAAAATCATATGGTCATTTAGAATAACTAAATGAAATTGTAAAAACAAGGATACATTTAAACAGCATAATTCCATTTCATAAAATCATAGGCCAGGAAAGGACCCCAAAGAATTGTCCAGTAGTGATCATCCATTTTGCCTTTAGGCAACACTACATCTAAAGCCAGATTTAATTTCATAGAGTGGAGGGTGAAGTAGAAATGGGAGGCCTACCAGATACGATAATACTGTAGTAGTTAAGGAACCAGGTAGCCTAATGTATTGTCATTTTTTCAAAAGGAGAAGGAAGGTGATGGGGAAAAGAGGTCCAGATTACAGTGTTAGGATTTAAGGGAAGCAAAAGTACTTTTACATAGCAAATTTGCCATTTTAAGAAAAATTTTATCCATATTACATAACACTTTAGTGTGTGTGTATTTGTGTGTGTGTGTGTGTGTGTGTGTGTGTGTGTGTGTTTTAATTAGACCCAGTTTTTTTTGTTCCCTTACTCTTAACATTGTGAAATTCTGGGGCAGATTACTGATTTTTATAAGATTTCAGTGTAGTTTTACTTTTAGTAGGATCAATGAAGTTTTAATATAAAGTGATATAGCTATTAAAAATAAAAATTGAAAGTTTTTTCCCATTCTTGATGTTATGGGAGAGAAAAGCATTCAGCCAAAAGACAACATAATTCTACAAAGAATCTGGTTTGACAGCTTAAGAATTGAGTATGGATTTATCTCTGGGCAGCACATTTGAACAAGGAATCACAATGAGACGGAACACAGAAACATTTCCAAGGCAATGAGATAGTGTGGCTCCTATCAGAGATAAGAAAGCCCCCCTCCATCCCATACACATCATACACATATGCAACACTGCACAAGACACAGTAGTGGGATGAGTAAGGATGAGGGACTGAGATGCCAGGCTACCACGAAATGCCACCAATTATTTAACATTTTAAGACTGGACAAAGAGTCCTTTTATTTTCAAAGGAGGGGGGTGAGGGGCAGAGTCACATTATAAATCTCATTCACTGTGCTCAACAGTCAAAACAACACAGAACTCAACATTCAAGACAAAAACAGACCTTTATTTTCGTTTATAATTTTCAATTGGTTTCCTTGATTTTTTTTCTCAGATGAATACCAATTAAGTCATTTGGGGCTATTGTTGCAACTGAAAATATGAAAGCACCTTTATTTTCTTCTCTTTTTGCCCTCTTCTTCATCTCCTTCTCATTTCTCTTCAAGCTTCTCTTTCTTTTCAAACCTTGCTTTCTTCTTTTAGAAGAAGCTTGCTTTGGACGAGGAGGCAAGCACTTGGTGAGGTCTGCTTCCCAAATGACTTTCTTTTCATTGTGCCAGTTCAGCCATTGGAACACTGGCTGAAAACCAGCTCTTTTGCAATTTGAATGAATGTTTTCTGAAAGTTGGCAAAGTTTAGACCACATTCAAATCACAGGACATATATAGGAACCTTCTGCGATTCCTAATGAGGAAGTGGATCACTGCTGTAATGACATTTTAATCTGTATCTAATTTAAGAAATCCAGGCCTATGAAAGAATACATTTTCTTCAAAATTATATTTACATTTATAACATGTAAATTAGTCCTGTGTCAGATCACACATTTTTATTCCAATTTCATTAAAGCAGAGAGCACATAAGAAGTTTCCTTTCCTATATAAAATTTCACTAACTGATAGATTTGAGGATCACTATTAAGTGATTAACTTGTATTCTGTGCCAAGGGAGGGTCATTTCTGGCTGTGTTTTACTTGACAGGGTGAAAAAAGATCCTCTTAACTATCTCTTTTACACTCTGCTATACTAAGAAATATTGTAAATCTAGAAATGTAGTGGATATCACAACACATCATTGTCTGGTTTTTACAGGTTGCCTATCATTTCTAGATAGTGAAAAAGAAAAGCCCAAAGATAAGATTAACTAATAAAAAATACTACTTTGTTGGAATCTCTTGCAAACTGCTTATGAGCAGATGATAATATATTTTTAATATATCACAAAGTCTTTGGTTGATGTGTTTCCTTATATTCAGGCTCAGTGGTTTCCCAAGCTTTTTTCTTCTTGGATTGTGCACCCTTACCAGTTAAAAAAATCTGTTGTTGACAACTTATGTACATGTATTACTCTATATTAATAAATATATAAGACATATACAGAAAAGAAATTCAAAAGGGTGAGCTATAAAACCCAAGGAGAAATTCCAAAGATTTTCTTCCTGTGCTTCAATAGAACCCTGTATACTCTTTTCCAGAGACCTATATTTGTATGATTTTCCCATGAGTGAAATTTGTGTCATTCATGTTTTAACTTCCCATTCTCTATCTGGCACAGTGCTTTGTGCACTAAACAAATTCAAATGGAGTGTTGGTTTTCTTTATATACAAAGTACTCCAAAGAATGTAGCCTATTTGGTCACTATGTAATTGTTAGGAAGGCCTATTGTGTAATATTGTTCCTGTTTCTCTGGTGAAAATTAAGGAGAGAAGAATAAAAATAAAACTTTAGTGACCCCAAATTTCACTCTGGTATCCTCTCAATTTCCCTGCCCCTGCAATGGCAATGTTGAAGGAGAGTAAAATATGAAAATGAAACCATAAGCATACTAATTGGGCTCTTGAGGTACTAAACCAACAATGGTTAATGGTTTCTAGTATATGATTCAGAAGGGAATTGTGCTCTTTTAAAATTGGACAATGATGTCCTCGTGGAAAACAGTTTTTTTTTTCTACAACACAGCTGTGTAATAAGCACAGAAGGTTGGGAAAGGTTAAATCACAAATGGGAGAGAAGTCTGGACATAGTAGTATTAGTCACCAGTCAAATCTGAGAGGCATTTGTTACAACTCTGTGGTTGTAACCACAGAGTACTTTAAGTCTTCCAGGCTAATGATATCAAGTATGCAGAACACTATTCTTGTCACAAAGAGTGATTAGCATTTGCATTGAGACCACAGGAATATTTTATATGAATACTAATTCAGTAGCATGCTACAAAGAATAACTTATTTATGTGTAAGGTGACAATTAAAATTTAAATGGATTTAATGTCTTTGTAGGTTTTATGATGAATATGATTAACTATTGAAGGGTTTACACTGTAATTTGAATTGTTGTATAACTAAATGCTAGCTCTCTTAATTCATGCTTTTATTATAACTCAACTAGCTATGCCTAGCACTGTATAACCGTGGAGAAGGGAAGGCAATTTGTTATATCTGAAAAAAGTGTAAGATTTTAAAATCTAGCTTTTAGTTCTCCCTCTGTAATCAATTACCCATTTCACAATTAAAAGTCATTTATTTATTTTCTTCTAGGCAAAATAACAATGCCAAACCATTACTATTTGGTAACAATTTCTCTGATGGAAAAAACTGATTTTAGTGAAGAAAAATCCCTTCTTTTAAAAGGACAGTTTGAGTGACTCTACCAACATTGCTAAGTGTTTTTTTTTTCTTTTTCTTTTTCTTTTTTTAGAATGGGTACAGACCATACTTGTAAGAATGATAATACATTTCACAAAAATCAAGTATGGCCTGTGTTCATGTCTGTCAATTCTGGTGTATCACTAAAGCTTACTTCCATACAGATGTGAGGAAACAATCAGAGCTAGATTATATTCTACACTTCTTTCTCTGAATTTCTGCCAAATTCTGTGGTTTAATAACAAATATGTCTTGGTCAAATTTTTAGGGTATTACAATAGATTTTATGACAAATAGTTCAGATGGCAAAACCATGATATCTTTAGTAATGATTTATCGACCCAAAGAAGGGAAGATTCTTTGAAGGACAATCATAAGCATAAATGGCAGTCTAGATTTATCCACAGAATTTAGAAAATTTAAACAATAGACATGGAGGTCAAGGTGCCTCACTCTTAGGCAGGAATTCATAATTGGGACAGTTAAAAACTCAAGCTAAGGGATGATTATATTTGAAAATTAAGGTAAAGTCACCAAATTCCTTAATGAGAAAAAACTAAAATTCTTCAGATCATAAAATTTTACTATGACTTAAACAGGGAAAATGACCCAAAACAATTCCATTAATATTAAATGCCAATAAAATGCTTTTTGATGGAATTCTACATACCAGAACCATCTTTTTTAAAAACACGTTAAAATGGTTAGAGCACAGAGGCAATTGTAAGGCAGATCAATGTGATTTTATTCACAACACAAATTCCATTTGTGAGAAAGAAGCATAGATTACTTCTTTTTAGAAAGATATTTACTATCAAGCATACTTAGCAAATTATTTAGCTATCTAAAAAGATATCTGATACCAACTGGTCATATTTTTATTTTTAAGTAATTTATATTTTTACAGGTATTCACATTATGCAATACCACACACTGTAGCAACAGGAAGAAAAAAAACATTTCAAAATACAATGTTAAATTTCTGTTCATTGCACAGTATGAATTATCCATTAATTAGCATTGAAATCATTACAGTGTATCTATCCAACTAAAGTAAATTTCACATTCACCACAAGAAAAATAAGCACTATTGAGCCATAGGGGTCCCAGTTACATTATATGAAATAATATCTGAAGCTAGTTTGAAAGACATCCAGACAAAATACTTTTCAAAAATGAAAACCACAGCCTACAGATTTGGAATATTTTACAGAATAGAATAGCTCATGCCTGTCCTAAGAGGCAACACCACTTGTATACAAGTGCCAAGAAGTAAGGAGAAAGTTAGGATTTTAGCTGAGGAGTCTAATAAAGCCTGGTATAAGGAATTTCCTTCATTAGTGTCACTAAAAGCAGTCTCTGTGTTGCACCTGAATACATTTTATAATAGAATAAACATATTAAGTTTCAGGGCAAGTTGTGTATACCTTGCCTTAATAGATTACACTTAATTTAGTACAATACAGCATGTCAAGTTTTAAAAATGCAAAATACACTTAATACAGAATTTGTTTCCTCTGCTTTGCCTTAAAGAAGCCACCGAAGAGTCCATTAAACAGCCAGGATTTTCTAGTTATTGAAGCTGATCCCTCTCATTTCCTGGTGTCAGGAGAATACAACTGAGGTGTCACCACACAGAGCCCTTCCCCAGTCAAGACCCTTTCCCCTTCTGTTCTCCCACAGAAAGGGCAGTTTTCTCTTACTGTGCTCCATCTTGATTGGCTTTGATCTTATGCTAGTCCCACTGTAGATAGCTCGAATTCTTCTTAAGAGTGGCCTGCCCCTCTTAATATCCCTGTAGAAAGGCCCCCAATCCAAAAACACTTGATGATCTAAGCTTTTTACAAGTCTGTTTTCTGTTATAAACAGCAAGGACGAGGCCATTTTAGTTGCTTGCAAGAGGTTGATGTTGAGTCTGCGCCGTGCCGACTCTCTCCGATCTAAATTCTCTAAACATTAGCTTATCAATCTGTGAGTCCAATGGGTTGAGTGCCAACAGAAGTGGATCCGATTTGGCATGGAGAGGTTCTACCAACTCTCGCAGTGTATTAGCCTAATATGATAAAGCAGTGATACAATATGATGAAAGACCTTCGAGTGCCATTATTCCAAAGCATATTAGAATTTGTATTAGAAATACCATCATGCAATACCCATGAGGAGAAAATAGAAAAATATGGCTAGAACTGCATATGGTTTTAATGCCATAATGTCTTTCTGTTGGCATGCAAGTCTATGTGGCCATAAATGGGATACTTTTTGTTTTAGTTTGGTTGTTTGAAATGCCAATCTTCCAAACATACACAGTAACACCTCTAAACTTGTATATGCATATCTACAATTTTAATCAGAAATGTCTATATTAAAATGATTAGTCTTTTAAATATTAAAATAATTTCTATACAAGAGCTTTCCTCCAATTCATCCGATCAACAAATATGAGGAAAGGTTTTCTGGTCTTCTGAGATATATGCTACCATGAACTAATATTTTACTGAGATAGTAAAATAGTCTAGCTAGTATCACTTTGATAAGGAGGCCGCATGCGAAACCATACAAGTGAAGAGAAATGAAAAGTTGTAATAGAGTAGACGTGATGAAGGGTGACTTTACACCTGAGCATAAGCCACATACCAAGGAGTTAAGAAACTAGAAGAGAATGAAGTTTCTGAATGACTTGAGAAACTAAGAACAATTTGGATAAAATAAACTGCAGTCTCAGTTCATTTTATTTTGAGGAATACAAGTATCATCAGCAGGCACAAATTGGCAATATTTGTTATCTCTATCCTAGGGCTGAATTTTATGTGCAACATCCTTTTATATTTTTTGAGTTATACACAGAAGAAGAAACAAATCAAGAGAGGGAACCAAGAAAGTATAGTGTTCATGATTACTCTCTTAGAAAATGGGGAGTAGCATGTGTTGCCCATAACACTGGTATCTAGAAAATGAGATGTAGCAGAGTTCAGAAACCAGCAGAATTGTTTATCACATCATTATGTTTGTGCACAAAAGGAGCTGAGAACTAAGTAATCTTCATATGTAGGTCAAATGAAACAAAATATAATACCTCATTTTTTTGAAGATTATAAATACTGAAAAGCTAGCTATAACTTTTTCCAATGTATTCCATAAGGTCATGGAATTTCAAACAGTGAAAACAGAAAAATCTAACCTTGGGCATAAGGTCATTTCTATATTTAAATTGTACTTAATTATCTATGCAATTAAAGCATTCTATAAGTTGTTTTGAACACATCCCTCATTTTTCTGCAGAACCAATGTTATATACTACTGTATTCCCTAATGCCCAGTTAACCCTGGTAATCAAATTCGACTAACTTAGATTTATATCATTGTTTCTATAAGATTGCTGAATGTTATTCCAAGAGATTGGAAACACCTCAGTTTAGCCTCTTACCAGAGTGCAGGATGATGAGGAAGAATCACTATTTTAAACTAGTTACAGATAGCTACTAATCTGTGTATATTAGCAGAAGATAAGATAATTTCCCTAGGGCAAGGTATCTCTTCAATTAACAGTGGTCAATACCACTCACAGAAGAATCTCAGGGGTGGGGATGAGATCTGTTTGCTAATCACAAATTTCTGGGCCCTTACCCCTCATCTACTGAATCAGAATTTCTGGATATGGAACTTAAGAATCTGTATTTTGAACAAGAAATTCAGTTTATTCTTATGCCCACTGTAGTTTGAGATTTCTTGCTTTAGGCCAGTCACATGTGGATGGCCCAACCAATGGGTAGGGCTGTTTGAAGTAATGTCCAATTGTACTGCATATCCAAGTAGTTTCCAAGTCAGAAGACCTGAGGCTGGGGACTTCACACAGCATTTTATTTTTTAATGTTATCTGAAGTCCCAAACATAACATTTTTATCACATATAACATTGTATTACAGTTAAAAACAAGATTTTTGCTGAGGAATCTGATGGAAATATCTTGGTCTACTAAAATTATGGCAAAATGAAAGTGGCCTTGGTAAACAGCTTGAATAAATTCTTTCAAGCTAAACTTTTATGTAGGGTTAAATAATTCCTATTTATTTTTGAGACAAAAAGAACAACTACAAAGATACTCTTAGACTCAACCCCACTGAATCAACAGTATGTCCAGATAAATGCATTATGTATATAAAGTAACAATGCATTGGCAAGCCAGGTAGACAGAGGCAAGGGCACCAAGTGCTGCTGGTATATGGCTAATCTATAAGAAATCTCTAAAACAAAAAACCAAACCAAAACAAAAAACAACAACAACAAAAATACACTTCATAATCATATGTACTTCATCAAAGTCCACTTTTGACTTCTTGAATATCATATTTATATGTCTTTAACTTTTTGAAAGTCCCTTTTAGATTCTCAACCCTATTTCCTTTTTTGTTCCTTTGTGTTTTCATTGGGCTTTCTGTTTTTTTTTTTTCTGTGTGTCTGATCCCCTGTTTCTACCTTCCTCTTTTGTAGCTGACACCTTCATTTATCCTTACTCAATAGCCTAAATATTCAAATCAGCTAATATTATTTATTACAGTAACAGACTAAGTTTATCCCTATTTTCTAAAAAGACAATTGAAAATTGTATTTTTTAAAGGCAGCCAAAACTGAAAATATATGACTCTTGACTATTTTGTTTTCTTATGGCTGATTTAACTATAGAAATATCCCCTATTCCTGCTATTAAAATAAATATCACTATTTTCAAACTTTTAACCAATGATATTTTGGAGAAACAGCAATGTGACTATGCTACTCCAAAGAAAAATCAGTCATGTTTCTGCTTGGCATATTAAGAAATATTTATTAATTTTTCATTCATCACTGAAACCTCTGCTTATTAGGCCAGTAGCCTAGCAGGATAAGAAGGAACAGATATTATTTCCCTGTTCCTGGGTTCCTGGAGTTCTAAATGATGGATCCAGATGTAACATCATCTTGAACTGTGCATAGAATGATTTCTTCCAGTGTGGATCTACTTTCCATGTAAATCCTTTGAGGCCCAGTTTGAAATCACATAGGATACTTTGAGAAAGATATTTCTTTCCCTTTGTATTTTATTAATTTAAAATAAAGTTCCACTAAGGACCACCCAAGTAATAGCAGAAATATGAATTCTAGAAACAAGTTTTATAATTGTAAACTGGCTTTAAAAACTGTATCTGCCAGGGTCTGGGGTTGTGGCTCAGCAGTAGAGCACTTGCCTAGCACGTGCAAGGCTCTGGGTTTGGTCCTCAGCACCACATAAAAATAAGTAAACAAAATAAAGGTATTGTGTACAACTAAAAATAAATTAAAAAATGTACTGGCCAGGAATGACTGATGATAATCTAATCATATTTTTTGAAGATTAGAATATAGAGTGGTTAAGGGTGGAGGCACAAACATTTGCAAGAGAATAATTAAGTTTGAATACCAAACAGGTGAAAAAAATCTTGTCCTTAATGAATGAAAGGCAAGAAAAATACTTGAAAATGGGAATAAGAAGTGCTTAAGCGAAATGAGAACTTAAAGAGTCCTACTTTTGTTTGACTTCTAAGAGACAACTCCATTCCATTTACTCAGTTTCATCATCACTGAGTTGAGAGCAAATTTAGAGCAAAGCCATTGAATATTTGTCTTAAACTGCTTGTAGAGAGATAACAAAGGTCACCGACAGCAGATATTCAAACCCATCAGCAGTAACACAGAAAGAGATCCTGAGAAACAATTATTTTGCTCCTTTTTAAAAAAAAAAGCTTATTTAACACAATTATCTGAAGCCTCCCATTCTTTTAAACGTACCTATTTTGGATTTAAATTTTTCTTTTTGAAAAATAAAAAGATATTTAACACTATAAATTGTTAGTGATAATTATTTTCTCAATGTAAGTATTGGAAAGAGTACTTTGGTTCTGAATGTTTAGACCAAAAGAAAGATTGGTAATTGTGGGGCTTGAGTAACATGTGTCCATATTTTGAGGGCCTATTTTATCATAAAAGGTTCGGTTAAAAAGATGGGAGTTTAAGGGGCTGGGGATGTGGCTCAAGTGGTAGCGCACTCGCCTGGCATGTGTGCAGTGCTGGATTTGATCCTCAGCACCACATACAAACAAAGATATTGTGTCCGCCAGAAAAACTAAATAAATAAATAAATAAATAAATATTAAATTCTCTCTCTCTTAAAAAAAAGATGAGAGTTTAAAAAAATTGCTTGGTTCATTTTTCTTTAACACCACAGGGGTTAGGAATTAGAAAGTTTTAATTTTTATTTTATAAATAAGGAGCACAGTGAGAAACAGTAAAAACATAATAAAGTTTGTGCTTATAGAACTTATGTACTTCTTTAATTAACAATCCAAGCAAAATATTTTATGAACCTAGCTACAGGCAAAACAGTTAAGGAAATACTGTTTGCAGGTAATTGGAATTTTCCTCTAAATTGGCAAATCACAATTCCTCTATCTATATAATTCACAGGAGATGTAATATTTTCTTATGAAAGTAGTATTTCATCGTAATGTATCTAGTGCTATCTTATGACCCCAGAGTGCATTTATGATTTAGTTACTGTCTATATACTACATGATAGCTTTTTCTATTTGCTTTAAAAACTATTATCTCAAATAAAGTAAGACCTAAAGTCTTCTTTTTTAAAGAGAGAGAGAGAGAGAGAATTTTAATATTTATTTTTTTAGTTTTCAGTGGACACATCTTTGTGTTTTTGTATGTGGTGCTGAGGATCGAACCCAGGCCGCACGCATGCCAGGCGAGCACACTACCGCTTGAGCCAC